GGTTTTTCGAAATCCAATCCTACTGGAAGGTCGAGACACGGAACCGTCGTTTGACTCAGCTTTAGGGATAGTTAAACGTACCACTATCTCCACTCCACTCCTTAGCTGCTCGCTTGCGCCATCCATCCCGCATCGGTCCACCGGCTCGCATTCTGTAATCCATGCTCGACGGGATTCTTGTACAACCACATCTATCGCCTCTGTCGACTCGCTCCCTTCGTTGGTCTGCTGCGCAGATTTGAACCATCTTCCCTATACAGCTGTCGGTGTTTCCCCGCACGGTCCCTGTTGACCGGCAGTCGAAATGGCGGAGACCGCAGTCATGACAAGCGGTCCTATCGCCGAGGACAATATCATCAACCGCCGCGGCGGTGAGTCGATCTATCAAAGCTGCGTCAATCTCAAAAAGCGCCTCGCGGAACTCCCGGATTTCGAATCGCACTTACGAGAGATGGACGAAGAGGATCTCGCACAGGGAAACACCGACCCTGTGGCGTCGCTATGGAATTGCCTCCGGGAAGGGTACCCCTTGTTGACCATCTACAACGCCTCAAGCCCTGAAGAGGTCCTCGAGGTCGATCCTGAAAAGGTACCGGAAGCAAAACGTCCCAAGGCTGCCACCTTCAAATTCCTACAGGCATCTTTGAAAGAGCTGGGCTTTCCGCAACAAGACTGCTTCCTAATCACCGACTTGTATGGTGAGAGCACAACCGGCTTTATCAAAGTGATCAAGATGGTGAATCGTGTGTTGGATATTCTAGAAATGCAGGGTCAGCTGAAGCGAACGTCCGATGTCTCCTCCCGCGCCCCGGAAAAAGGAACTGTGAAGCTTACCAAGAGAGAGCACATTCTTAAGGAGTTGTTGGAGACGGAGCGCGACTATGTTCACCATCTTCAAAATCTACAAGCACTCAAGAAAGAACTGGAGGAGACTGGGGCTCTTACCGGCGACCCTAGTCATCAGATCTTTTTGAATTTGAATAATCTTCTTGATTTCGCCCAGCGATTCTTAATTCGTATTGAGCAGCACTATGCCTTGCCGGAAGAGAGGCAAAACTGGGGCGAGTTGTTTATCCAACACGAGGATGCTTTCCGGCAGTATGAGCCGTTTATCGCGAACCAATTGCGTTGCGACGAAGTCTGCCTGAAGGAATGGGACAGAATTCATACAGCCCCGAGGACTGTTGACTTAAAGCAGATGGTGGCTCAACCCTCAACGCTTAATGGGTTCTTTGTCAAGCCTTTCCAGCGACTGACCAAATATCCTTTGATGCTTTCCGTGAGTATTCTATGTCATCCATCGTCGGTCGTGAGTACTAAATCTGTTCAGGAACTCCGCAAACAGACTGAAAATCCAGAGTTGCAGATGGACATTACCCGTGCCATCGACTCCATTCAGTCTGTCCTTGATTCTGCAAACGATGCTATCGACAAAGAACACCTGGCTTCGGCATTCACAGAGCTAGACGAACGAGTAGACGATTGGAAGTCACTAAAAATAGAATCGTTTGGTGACTTGCTCCGCTTCGGCACATTCACCGTTTTGAAGGGAGACAATGGCAAGGACTCGGAAAGAGAGGTTTGTCCCCTCCCAGACACTGTTTTGATATTTTCAGCCCATCCATACTTCCCAATTTGCCTTACTACGGCTAGCGAAGAACAGACATGTTAGCCAGAAGTTTGACAAGTTCATGGTCGATTTATAATTGACTACAACCACGCCCAGAGATCGGAACAACCCACCCCTCATCATTTGGTCAGGCCCATGTGCCCAGACCTAACATCAAAGATCTCTTCGAAGATTACACTGTGGAGCATATGATTTCTGACTTTTCCCCTTTTTCCGAGTCTAGTACCACATCTACCTTTTCGAACGCATCCTTCTCTGCTGCAAAGATATCAATCCGAACAAACAGAAAACGAAATTGATTGTGGGCAAAGATAAACCGGCTACTACTGTGAAAGGAAAACCACGCTTGCAGCTTAAGGGTCGCATTTACATGGCAAACGTGACGGATATAGCTTGCTATCAGAAGCCAGGTACGGGGCTGTTTTCGATTCCCAGAAGACTTGTGCTGGGTTGACACTGTTTTACAGGCTCTTATCGTATTCAAATCTTTTGGAAAGGTGACCCAGGCGTAGTTGACAATTTTATCATACGCTATCAAAATGAAGATGCCATGCGCAAATGGTACAGGGACATTGACAACCAACGAGCAATTCAAGCAGAACACCGCAGCGCACGGAACACCGGTACATCCGAGACGGAATTTACGTACATGAGAAATATGGCGAACATGCCCAACCCCTACCTTGAACATGATGCCGATGACCAAGGAACTAAGGAGGCTGGCTTCTTCTCCGAATTTCCTATGAGCCGGAATGCATCAAGCACTAGTCTCCGGACGCGATCCGCAACCGGTGGTAGTGGTGGTTCTGGCCCGCCCCTGTCAAATAAATTTCGCTTCCCTATGCCAGATCCGAACCTTTCCGTGCATACACAGTTCCCCGGTGGTAGTATGTCGCCAGCCGAGCGAAACGCTAGTTCTTACTTTTCGCCTGTTGCCGAAACCCCATCCACAAGGTCGAGCTCGCAGTCTACTGCTGGTTATTCGTACGGCCGTCAGCCGACTCCAGGCAGTACATGGAACGAAGAGCCCAATCGGTATACCGCACCTGCATTATCTCGCGGCGTTTCTAGAGATGGCTCGAACTCGAATCCCTATTTCAGCGGTGCACCCAATGGGCGAGGCGCTCAGCGCCCTTCACTACCTCCTATGTCTGGCACTTCTAACGGCATGGCGCAGCGGATGCGTTCTGCGAGTAGCCCGGATATACACCACAACCCTGAATCACGTCGGTACATGGGCGCACACACAATGCAGACGGTCGACAACGTGCCCGTTCCCCCGATCCCTGCTCATATGGCCAGCATGAAGGCGCCTGTTAATAGAAGCCAAGCCAATTCACCAACCAATACCGGTCTACCCAGCCGCAACGGAAATGCTATCAACGGACAACACGCGCACTTCCATGAACCCCAGTACTCTGAATCTCGAATGAATCAGCCTGTGTCAGATCAGCCCACATCCCCGCTGAGCCAAGAACCAGAGGAGGATCCTCTTATGCCGACCCAACTTAAAGCGAAGGTTAATTTCGATGATAACTACGTCACTCTAGTGATTGCCAGCAACATCATGTTCCGCTCCCTCACAGACCGAGTGGATGCGAAACTGGCCCGGTTCACCAATCGATCAATAGGCAGCAAGTCAGTCAGGTTACGCTACCGCGATGAGGACGGAGATTTCGTCACAATTGACAGCGATGAGGCCGTCCAGTTGGCGTTTATGGAATGGCGGGAGCAACATCGTGACATGCTTTCCAGAGGCCAAGTTGGAGAGATTCAACTCTATTGCCAAGCAGTCGAGAACTAAACGCAATCTAACCGAGGCGGGGCGCTCTTTATCATGTTTTTACTATACTCTTTTTTCTCTTCTCATCTTCTTTACTTCACATATTATTATTTTCCCCCTTCTGTTTTGCTGTTTGAAATTCCCCCTTTCGCTCTGGTTGTCTACGGAGATGGAAGGAAAAAGAAGGAGCGTCTATTTAAGAAGTTGCCGGCGTTATCATCAGGTTCTATACAACTCATTTCCAACTGGATTGGCTTGAGACTATTGAGGAGCCAGTGTTTCGTTCATGAACAAAGGGGAAGAGAAAGGGCTGGTTTCGTTTTTCCTTCATACTTTGTTTCTCTTTTTCCATCTTCTATTCTCTTCAGTCTTCCTCTTTTCTTCTAACATCTTTGGGGTGTTTTACCGGAAGCCGATTTATGTTTCTCTTCACCTTGACCATGTGCATTTTATCCGGAGCTCTCTTGTCGGGTGAGATGCTTATGACGACTGACTTTGTTTATTCTTGTTCGGGCCCCTTCCGTCCCTATCCGCGGGCAATGACTGCATGATGTACGTATACCGCTGTTCCATCGAACAGACCAATCTCCAGGTTATAAGAGATGAGATGTATAGTGAACTTGTATACCCAAGACCGGCTCTTCTGTTGGACTTGGTCGCGGGTTTGAGCGCTATTTTGTGTTGGGCTTTCTGTGTTTCGGGTCGGTTTGGGTGGGTTGGTATAGACTAGGCGAATTATTTAATTCTATGAGTTAATAGGAAAGATTTCCCCAGGACATTGCATGCAAGCACTCTCCGTCCTATCCGTACATCGTACATAGTACATAGTATATACTCCGTATAAGTAGTAACTATAGCCACCCATTCGGATAGGATCCGGAAGGAGCCCCACCGGCTTCTATCCACCCCCCTGGCCGGGACCCAATCCAGACCGTCGGCACCTCGACCGCTTTTTCAGATCCGATCGAAACGGACTTCCGTGCCGATACTCTTCCGTCAGAAGGGCTGAAAGTAAGTAGGTAGGGAGTAATAATAGTAACAATAACGACAGGATAAGGGGCAATACTGTTTGTTCATGAGGCATTTCCAACCTTTGTTCAAGTGATGCGTTCAGTGCTGCCGGTGATCGACCCTCCAGAGGCGAATAAGAGCCCAACGGCCTTGGGACTATGTGTTTTATATTGAGGGATTATCACGTTGCGGGATATAATTTCGCCCTTCCTTTTTTGTTATTGGTTCGAACGTTAGCACTTTGGGGTTGGGCTGAGTCTCCAAAGTCAAAATTGGAAGGTGAACAAACAAGAGGGTGAGAGTGATGCCTGAGAGAGAGAGCCTTAAAAACCATTCAGCTTGCCGTGCTCTTTCTTTTCCTCTTGTCATATTTAACAACGCTTGACGCGGTCGATACCCTGACAAACTGTCACCTATTTTGACGTCTCTTTTCTTTTCCCCTTATTTTCTTTTACTTCTACGTATAGATCGCACGCATCCTTGGCGTCATTGGTTTTTATACTTACGAGAAAGCCAAGAAACGCATCAATCTGCTAAACTATTTTTATCCTCCAGATCAACTTTGATATTGTTGCCAAGCAGCAAATATGTCGTTCTCTGGCCGTCGTGTGAGCATTCTGCGCCCTTCCAACAGGCGATTCTCCTTAGGCAAGGAGTTATCGGAGAATGGTACGTGGTTCTTTCTATGCAAGTTTTTGATTGGAGTTGCACGTTTGCGATCGCGTTGTAGAATGAGGGGTACATCAAACAAAGAAAAAAAAAGAAAAAGAAAAGAAAAAGAAAAAGAGAAGAGAGAAAAACAGAAGAAGAAGAACCAATCAGCCATAGCACATATTTTCACTGACAAACAAAACCTTTCTTATACAGAACTCCGATCGGAGACCCATCGTCAATTCCGAAGCGCTCACGAAGGTCACCGTCCTCACGCCGGCCTCGATGCCTCGCGTGCCTCGACAGGTGTTGTCTGGTGTACGGAACGTGCGACAGAACACGGTTACGCAGAGAATCCGTCCGAATGGGCGAATCTGGGCCAAGGAGCCCCCGAAGCCGACGATGAGATCGAAGGCAGTTTCCCTCGCCCCACGAGCATTCCCATCACCTCTGCTGCGCGTGAGTACGGTCCCACGGCCGGTATCAAGCCTCTCCGCGCCGCTGTCGCTCGGTTGTACAATGAGCATTACCGCCAAGGCAAAGAAAGCCAGTACACTTGGGAGAATGTCTGCATTGTGCCCGGTGGACGTGCGGGTCTGATTCGAATTGCAGCCATTCTGGGCAATTCGTACCTTTCCTTCCCTATTCCCGACTACTCCGCGTACTCGGAGATGTTGACTTTGTTCAAGAATGTACGTGCGTGGTCACTGGTAGACTTTTGAGAAGTGCAGTCTGCAAACATGGTCCTTGACCTGTGTCGCGATAGCTCACAAACTATCTTTTAGATCGCACCCATCCCCATTCCCCTCTCCCAAAACGACCACTATCATATCCACCCCGACAAAATCGCCGAGGAAATTGCTCGTGGCACCCAGGTCCTCTTAACCTCGAACCCCCGTAACCCGACCGGACATTTCGTTTCCAGCGATGAGCTGGCTCGGATCCAAGACATCTGCAGGGATCGCGCGACGCTGATTTTGGATGAATTCTATGGAGGATACAACTACACCACCGACTGCGACGGCACAACCCTCAGTGGTGCTACGAATGTGGAGGATGTCAACCAAGACGGTGGGCCAATACTCAGAAGCTATAGATGACTTTTCTCATGCTAACCCTGACAGATGTGCTGCTCATCGACGGTCTCACCAAGCGTTTCCGCCTACCCGGTTGGCGTATCGCCTGGATTGTCGGCCCCAAGGAATTCGTTGACGCCCTGGGCTCCGCTGGTTCCTACCTGGATGGAGGTGCCAACGTGCCCTTCCAGGAGGCTGCCATTCCCATGCTTGAGCCGTCCCTTGTACGCGCAGAGATGAAGGCTCTTCAGCACCATTTCCGTGAAAAGAGAGACTTTGTTGTGAAGCGTTTGACAGAGATTGGATTCCGTATCAAGGATATTCCCCAGGCCACCTTCTACATTTGGCTTGATCTGACTGCCTTGGAACCTCCTCTTCCCGCAGAGGCTAACATCTCTGACGGTCTGAATTTCTTCAACGCCCTTCTGACTGAGAAGGTTATTGTGGTGCCCGGTATTTTCTTCGACCTGAACCCTGCCAAGAGAAGAGACCTGTTTGACAGCCCCTGCCATCACTTCGTCCGTCTGAGTTACGGACCTAAGATGGATGTACTGAAGAAGGGTCTGGACGGCATTGAAAGAGTTATCCGCCGGGCTCGTGGAGAGGCCCTCAAAGCGCAATGGGAGGACGAGGTAGCAATTGCTGACGACTAAGCGATCAATTATGAGCGGATCCATGCACACACACATATATATATATAGATAGATTTATAGTTAGTATCCTATGAACAGAGGTCATCGTATATGCAAAACCTGCCTTGTTCTTTCTCTTCCTCTTCCTCATTCCCACCCTCCAATATCAAATGACGATGCTTTTGAATTTAAACATCAAATGTCAATATAACACTCTCCACTATAGACACGGCCCCTTAATTTGGTTGGACTCTAGCTTACACGTGACCACTCCCTCTCGGTCGGCCTCTCAGTTAGCGACCCTCCCCCCCGGCTGAACTACTTCCTTTCATGATCATAGACAGTCGAGGCAGCGACGAGCTCAGGCTACGATGCGCAATATGATGCGCTCGGTATTATGGCCTGGAATTTTTATCGCATCCTCAATTACACTATCTTTATCGTCCTCTCTGTCGTCCTCTTCTGCCTTATAGTGCTGACCCCAGCCGACGCGATCTACCAGTGCTACGTAACCTCGCGACTCACGAATATTTTTATCATTAGCGGTGGCTACATTGTGACTTTTATATTAGCGGCGCTGATATACGCAACCCGGATCTATACCAATCGCAGTGCCTTAGCAGAAATCCCCAAAGCATGGATCCCAATCGAGAAGGAAGATGTCGGAAAGAGTGTGAGACGGCTGGTGGTTGAAGGTCTTGCTCGCAGCGCTATTGTTGCTTATCAGGCTAGGCCGAGGGACACAGCTGCAGATGGCGATAACTTTGCCGACTACCCCATGCTCTTGATAGACCGCGACCGCCCTCCGTGGGGAACTGTAGAACATCCCGGATGGTCTTCTCCTGCATCCCCAGATTTGCCCGACCTGCCGTATCGAACGGTCATCCAGGAGCTCCCGAATCTGATTGAAGCTAAAGCGGTCTCTCTCGCTCCCCCTGACCCATTTTTGACAGCGACCCGCTCGTTTGATCCCTCGTCCCCTGGCGCCGAACAATCAATCCCGGACACACGAGTGGTAGACATCCTACGGCGACCGGTGTCGATGGGTCTGAGGGAATATTTGCAACATCTTACTAGCCTGAGCGTCATCAAGCCACCTGAGATTGGAGCAGAATTCATCGCACTATATGAACGCGCGCGCTTCTCGCCGCACGAGCTTCATGAGACCGAATTTCGGGATCTGATGCACATATTTGCGGGGCTGTTAAGAGGGATGAAGTCGCTTGATACACAAGTTATGGACAATATATACGCTGAAAGCTCTCGCGGCGATAGCGAGTCTATCATTGGACCTTCAGACGAGGAAGGGGAGACTGATACGATGGATTTCCACGATGACAGCGAGGCTTTCTCTCGAGGCCGAAGCAATAGTTTGCGACCTTCGAATGCATCGACATGGGAGGGCAGCTCCATTCACACTACATCGGGAAGGCAGAGCCATAGGTCCCCTGTTTGGTCCAGAAACGTTGACCAGCATCGGCTGGCGACACCCCGAACTCCATCAATGCGATCGCTTAGGCGGGTTCAGTCGAATGCGTCGGGCAGTTCTGGAGGTAGTGTTATACGTTTGGTAGATACCCATGGGCCATCTGATTTGCCCTACGCGATTAATTTTAATAGAACGTGAAAGCTTTTGGGATAACCTAATTGGATTGCAATAGTGAAAACAGGCATTGCTTTCACTTATAATCAATAGTTACATGCAATAAATAACTGAATGTCTAATGTATCACGTTGGTCTTTTAATTTTCCCGGTGCTATAGTAGTTACTAATATCTCCATGTGGAATTTCAAGCGAATGACCTGATTTGGAGGGGAGATTGATAATAGACAACCAATCAAGTCAGGGGCTATCAGCAGTCTATCGGGCAGATCGGAAAGGATTCCGTCCTTGGCGTTGGTGATTGATAAGATCTGTTTTTCCAAAATGGTAACTGTGTCACGACCAACTCTTTTTTTTTACCTATTTTGTTCTTTCCCCAGACACTCCCCCATACCATGCAGGCTCTCTGGAGACGCGGCACATCCCTCTTCTCAACACCATCGGGGTCTCCCAAAGACTCCGGGTCTGTTGAAGACTTCCGAACAGCTTCAAGTCCCGATAAGCTATTCACCAAGGTCGATCCCGCCGTTGACGGAGAAGAATGTCTCCACGACTGCGCTTCATGCACCGTCCGGTACCCGGCTAAGTTCGACGTGGACCAGGAAGATACGCTGTATGGAAATGTCAACGGATGGTCAACACACCTACTCGTCGCGACCGGGAAAACAGATTGGGTACGAGATGTAGCGGACGAACAGGGCAGCGTGATGGAAGCGATTGAGAAAGGGGGTCTCGAGCCTGGCAACGGGGTAAGTCTCGATTGACTGCTACTACCACCGCCACTTTTACCCACTCAGACATACTCCGTAGCATAAGTACTAACGAACCAAAATCAGAAATTGAAACTATCGGC